AGACAGAATAGGGAGCAGAATAGGCAAGATGTACTGAAATATATTGCTGAGGGGAGCAGTGGGTGGGTCAGGAGAGGTCTGCCACACCATGTGGTTCAGCTCCCTGACTAAGGATCAAACTCATGCTGCTAGAGCTTCATAGTGCTGCACTTTAACCCATTGCACCATCAGTAAGGGCCTAAGTTCAAGTGTTTTTTAATTAGCCTAAAGTTTAACAAAGTAAATCTTTACATAGTTGAATAGGAAAATAATCTTATATGATACTGCAGGTAAAAACAAGATTGTTACTATAGATCAAATTGAAATATTTTATTTAAAATATATTGGGCCTTCCCTGGAGGCGCAGTGGGTTAAAGCACTGCACTGAGGAACTAAAGCCACTTCCACATGAGTTCGATCCCCGCCTGCCCCGGAGGTGACCACATGGCGCGGCAGACCTCTCCTGACCCGCCCGCTGCTCCCCTCAGCAGTGTACTTCTTCGATCTGCCTGTTCTGCTCCCCGCTCTGTCTCTGGTGAACCTTCTCACCCTCCGCATCTCTGGCCTGTACCCCAGTTCTGTATGAATAAATAAATCTTTAAAAATATATATATATAATATAATTTGTTTTAGTAATAATAAACTTCATTTTCAAGAATCAAATTAATATAATAGCAGGTCTTATGTATGTCATTAAAAAAATAAAACTAATAAAAGCACAGAATAGAATGATGCTTACTAGGGACTGCAGGTTGAGGAAAATGGGGAATTAATTCAATTTTAGGTATTCAAGTTTCATTTAAGCAAGATGAATATGTTCTGGATATCTAGTGTACAACTTGGTGACTCATTAGTAATACTGTATTATACTAAAAATTTGCAAAGGGAATCCATTTTAAGTATGCTAGCACACACAAAAAAAATTATGTGAGGGATCGGTTAATTAGCTTAATTATGGTAATAACTTTACAATGCATATGTATATCAAAATACCACATTGTAAACCTTAAGTGTGTACATTTTCATTTGTCAGTCATACCGCTATAAAGCTGGGAAAAAAGAAAAGATGTTCTCCTCACCTGTTCTAAATCTGTGAGATCAAGGAGGATTTTCCCTTCTCCCGCTCAATAGATCTTTGTTCCCTTTAATTGAAATAAGATGGAAATTTCAGGAATGGAAAGACTGAAACTGTCAAAGTAATTTCACTACCTTGTCCCTATCATCCGGACCTGAGGCCGTAAGAGGAGCCTCCCCACACTCTGCTGCTCTGGGCCTGAAGGAAGCCCTCTACAGTCATCTGCTGACCTCTGAGATCTTATCTGTCTGTATTCTGTTCAACGATTGGAGATTTTTTAGTTTGTGTTTCACACACTCTAAAACCAAACCATCAGAGGGAATTCTAAGCAATGATCAAAAAAGGAGAGGCAAGTTTTGGTCCTTGTATTACTTCCCCCAAGGCAGAAATTGTGACCCCCCCACCTCCATCAATGAAATTCAATTATAACTTCCTCTTGCTTTATTTGGAAATGAAGAATTTTTTTTCTAACCTCTTGGAAAAAAAAAAGTAGCAAGCAATATTTCTGAACTAGATAAGACGAGAATTGGTAGGTGTAAATAATTCTCTCAGTGTTGCATAAAAATGGTGCAGGACAGCCCAACTTTCTTTAGAAGAATGGCCAACCATCTCACAGGTGGCAGCTCTTCCCATAGGAAAGAGGAGTCACTTCCAGTCACTTTACCTGGTTTCTCAGGCTACATTTGGAACATTCTATGTATCCTTTATAATATCATCTCTTGTATTAGAGTACCAAACTTCCTGAACCAAGTAGGAGTTATAGACCAGGACTAAAAGAGTAGAACTTCCTGGTGGCACAAGGGGTTAAAGTACAGCACTATGACGAGATCCACGGCCACTGCAACACAAGTTCAATTCCCAGCCAGGGAGCTAACCCTCATGGCAAACAGACCCCTCCTGACCCACCTGCTGCTCCCTCAACAGTGTATTTCAGTAGCTCCACCTGTTCTGCACCCCACTCTGTCCATGGTGAATCCTCTCATCCCCCAACACCTCTGGCCTGTATCACAGTTCTTGTACATATAAATAACTAAATCTTTTTTTAGATTAACTCTAGATTGGGCACAGACACAATTACATGGGCATATAGGCCTGCACTGCTTTCTGTATCTGAAAAACACATGCTACATTAAAGCAGGTGATCTGGCATCTTAGCCACTTTAATGAATAAATAGACTCGACTACCTAGATATATTCTCAAAACTGAAATGAAGCCAACGCCCTCATATGAGTGTATGGCAACCATAGTTTTGGCTATCTGTGCATGAAGTCATCTTCAGAGGTTTATCCCATAGTTACTTTTAAGTCACTATAAGTAGTCAGCAATGATATTGGAGATTTATTTCTCATCATGAGAAATGTTTTTAGATTACTTGGAGGAAAATAACAGAAGGATAGAATCATAAATCTCTTCTAGGCGTTTCAAAAGTGCAACACATCATCGCATGCTCTATCTAAAGAAACAGACCTTTGCCGGAAACTTGCAACAAAAATGCCATTTTTCTAAATTTGATAACAGGATTTATTTTGGGACCTGGAGTGGGAAAATGGGGCACACATTAGGATCATTACTTTCTAAGCTCTGTGTTTCTGGGTTGTGTGAATGTTTTAATAAAGACTTCATCTTACTTTTACAATTAAGCAATTATAAAAATCAATTAATAAATAATTCTAGATTATGGTTGCTGGATCAACTCTCATTTAAAACAAAAGAAGGAGGAATAGTTTTTTAAAGAAAAATTTGCTTGATAAGCTCACTGTCTTTTCCTATAGGAAAAAGGTGGCTATAGATAACTTACTTCAGAGATGCTGTCTTCTTACAAATTCCATTTGGTGTCTCATTCTATGACTTGCAGCTTAATGAGCCACTTTAGTTGGCCTTTTCCCAAGGTTCATTCACAATTCCTCTTAAATAACCTCAAAGTCATTTTGCTGAAACAGGTGTTATTTTCTAAACAGCTTCTACCAAAGGACAGCAAGATAATTAATCAGCTTCAGATCTACAGCATTCAGGGTCTCATATCTGACAAATTTATGCCACAGAGTAATGTTTTTGAAACATTTTATTTATAAAGAGATTTTGAGGCTGTAACAAAAGAATTTAGTATGCTTCTAAATATTTATTTCTTTTTCCCTGAGATCAACGCATACAGACTTGGGAATTATGTCTCTCTTTGCAGCAAACTGAAGCCCTTTGTTTTCTGTAAAGCTGGTTTCAGAGTCCACTCTTCATTTCAGATATTTCATATGTTATAGGTAGCTAGAGTCAGCTACACTATATATTTCAGATAAAGCAGATGGATAATTCAGCCTGCAATGGATTAAAACTAACTTCTAAATTTGCACAGTATTAGATGAGGTATAGCATTCCATGAGAGTAAATGAAGACAATGTGAGGGTCAGATGTTTCACAGATTTGGTTTGATTTGGCGGAAAGGATATGTTCTATGTGTCCAACATATATAACTAGTATTTTACATAGTCAAACAGTCTGAGATGCTGGCTTCAGTGATGTCCATGGGGACTCAACTCCAATGGCAAAGTAAGTAAAAGCAAAATAAACAAATGGGACTACATTAAACTAAAAACCCTGCCATTAAACCAAAAGACGGCCCTCCCTAGTAGCACAGCGGGTTAAAACAGAGCATTAAGAAGCTAAAGCCACTTCCACATGAGTTCGATTCCCGCCTGCCCCGGAGGCAACCACAGGGCGTGGCAGACCTCTCCTGATCCTGCCGCTGCTCCCCTCAGCAGTGTACTGTTCTGCTCCCCACTCTGTCCCTGGTGAATCCTCTCACCCTCCGCATCTCTGGCCTGTACCCCAGTTCTGTATGAATAAGTAAATAAATCTTTAAAAAAAAAAAAAAGACATCCATTCAATGGCAGATAATTTTTGCATATCACACATCCAACTAGGGTTAATATCCAGTATCTACAGAGGACTCATACAACTAAACAACAAGAAAGCAAAATTCCATTCAAAAACTGGGCAGAAAGCTAAAACGGCACTTCTCCAAAGAAAACATACAGGTGGCCAACAGGCAATGAAAAAATGTTCACCATCCCTTATATGAGAGAAATTACAATGAAACTACAATGAGCTATCATCTCACACTTTTGAGAATGTATCAGAAAGACCAAAAACAGAAAGTATTGGCAAGAGTGTGGAGAAAAAGGAACCTTCTTTCACTGTTGATTGGAGTGTAGCCTGGCCAAGCCTCCATGGAAGACAGAATGGAGGTTTCTCAAAATATTAAAAATAAATGACATAATTTCACACCTCAGTATCTATTTGAAGAATGACATAACACTAATTTGAAGGGATATGCACACACTATGTGCATGGCAACACTATTTACAATAGCCAAGTCATGACAGCCACCTATGTGTCTAAGGACAAAGCAGTGTGTCAGAAAAACAAGGTGCAAATATACAGTGGAATACTATACACCTATGGAAAGATGAAATCTTGCCATTTGCAAAAGTATGGATGGACCTGGGTGGGATTATACCAAGTAGAAATAAGTCAGAAGGAAAAAACAAATACTGGATGGTTCGCTCATGTGTGGTTTATGCCAAACAAAGCAAAGAAACAGACAAAACCAACCCAAACCATACCCTTAAATTTTGACTGCAATTCTGGGGCTACCAAAAGGGGGAGGGGATACTAACAAGTAGAGGAGGGGTCCAAGGAACTATGCTGGAAGATTAATGGGTGCTTTTGTGGTAGATGTGGTGTGACAATATATAATTGTAGAGGTGTAAAACTATATCCCTAAAACATACGATGTTGTAAATCAGTGTTAGCTCATTAAACGTAGTTTTTTTAAAGACCATCAAGATGTTTTTAGACCAAGTCCCTAACTGCCCAGAAATATCCATAGAGCTTCTTGCCCTGGTTCGTTTGCTAGTAACTCTCTCTAACATGACTGATTGGCTATTTTAGGAATTCGTGATGATTGTCGTCTTTGGTTTGGAGTTCATCGTTCGAATCTGGTCTGCAGGTTGCTGTTGTCGGTATCGAGGATGGCAAGGGAGATTGAGGTTTGCCCGAAAGCCCTTCTGTGTTATAGGTGAGTATCAATGTCCTAGACATCTAGATATATGACACCACATCATTTTCTTCTGCCTCCTATATGGTCACATTCAGTTAATAGTAAAAGCTACCTTTCATGAAATATGTGCCGTGGGCCAGACAGTCTTATGTCTTAAATGCTTTGATTCAGTTCATTCTCACCACAGCACCATCAGACAAGTATTTTTATTATCCCCAAATTATTATTATTGCAAATGAGGAAACTGAGGCAAGGAGTAGTGAAGTAAATTACTGAAACAAGTAATTTTCAAGTGGTTATGAGCAGTGAATGGAGCTGGAATTTGAGCCAGATGGTCTGGCTGTGGAACACTCACTTGTAACAATTAAGTTATGGTGAAATATGTGGGTCACCAATGTTCCATGGATTATAATAAATGTAAAAAGCCCCCTTAGTACTTTACAATATTAGCAATACCCTTTTTATTCTCTTGATCAGCTGGAATGGATAGCTATTTACTATTAGCCTTGGTAACATATGTCAATTAGCATGAGTCAAGAATGAATACATCTTGAATTTATGAGTTGGCAACTTTGCCCTGATAATATGACTTACACTCTGAAATTTGAGTTCCCTCGTCCTGAAGGCCCCCATCTCTGCACCATCCTCACTGCTGTGGTTTCAAAGGAATTCCATTCACCTGGATACCAGCTTGAAATTAGACTTCCTTTTTTTAAGATTTTTATTTATTTATTTATTTATGCATATAAGAACTGAGGCCTAAGCCAGAGGTGTGTTTGTGGGGTGGGGGTTAGGAGTGGGGAGAGGGGTTGAGAGGATTCAACAGAGACAGAGTGGGGAGCAGAACAGGCAGATCTACTGAAATACACTGCTGAGGAGGGCAGCTGAGGAGAGGTCTGCTGCTCCATGTGGATTAGTTCCCTAGCTCACGGGGAATTGAACTAATGCCACAGTGGCTGGTGATAGCTTGATAGTGCTGACTTTAATCCCTGTGCCACCAATTATACTTCTTAATGAAGATGTCATACAGTATAATGGAGTTAAGATCCTACATTTCCTAGTAATGTATTTAAAAGTACATCTTAAAATTGAAAATTCTAATAAATTTTATCTCAATAAAAATTACTTTTTAAAATTCGACTCTGTGGCCCTCCCTGGTGGCGCAGCGGTTTAAAGCACAGCACTGAGAATCTAAAGCTGCTTTCGCATGAGTTCAACTCCCGCCTGCCCCGGAGGTGACCACATGGTGTGGCAGACCTCTCCTGGCCCGCCCGCTGCTCCCCTCAGCAGTGTACTTCGTTGATCTGCCTGTTCTGTTCCCCACTCTGTCTCTGGTGAAGCCTCTCACCCTCCGCATCTCTGGCCTGTACCCCAGTTCTGTATGCATAAATAAATAAATCTTAAAAAAAAAAAATTCGACTCTGTACCATTATCCTTAATCCTAAAAATTTCAATTTTGATTTCCAGAGAATACGAATTTTTAATATATCTTCAATAAGCTGAACATTGATATAATGCCTAATGTGCTGGTTATATTCCAGTTATCTATCAAAGCATTTTTTCCTCTACAGCACAGGATCCATTGAGAATCACATACTACATTTAGTTATTGTTTCTCTCTAGTCTCCTTTAACCTAGTGCAGTTCCTCATCTCTCTTTATCTTTTATTAAGACATTTTTCAAGAACATAGCCTATTATTTAAAATAGAATGTTCATCCCTTTGAAAGAAAAAGTGAAAATCTTACATATAAAATCTATGATTGTTACTGCATTATTATCATTATTTATCAACATTTGATTTCCTTGCTCTTTTTTCCCTCTCACTTCTTTGGCAGCTATTCAAATCCAAATGCTAAAGTTCACGGTGAAGCTTGTTTATTTCAATTACTCCTAAAGTGAGAAAGTGCATTTTTTATTTGCAAAATAGTTAAGACTATCTTCTTCATCTTCAATAGGTGCTTCCATTTTATTTTAGGGGTCAGGTACTGCTGAGTAATCCTCTTAATTTCCTCTTTATCCCTGTTTCTGTGCTAGGGGAAGGGCCAATTTAAGAAGCAAGTAGATAAAATGGGCACTCCAACCATGGACACTCTTAAGAATCCTTTATCCCATTATTGCTACAGCAGAGCATTATCTTGGGAACAAGTGGATCCCCACATGCTCTGTGCCATTGAGGTCATTGCATAGTAAGCATATTTCAAAAAAGTCAACATTCTTTCAACCAAAAGTTAAGGAAGTTTGGCTATTTGTGAAGCATTGGAATTATAATGTGAATGTAGTAAAAATCTAAGCTAAATCAATTTTAAAATACTTTGGTTAGTCTTCAATAATGCAGACTCTTATCCAGCTGCCTCTCCTCCAAGAACAGGCTGTACATTTTGGAAGCCAATACCCTAAGGTATGGAGGAAAGTAGGTAGTAACAGCCTTGCTGGTCTGCCCAGAACCACAGAGTACTCACAAAGGTTTTTGATTTTTCTCTCCAAAGATTTTGCTTCTCATTTTGAATCCCTGCTCAAGCAGCATCATGAAGTACTGTAACTTGATGTGTAACTGCAGCACAACCAGCACTTCCTGTCCTATAAGGGCCCTAAGCAAAACAATTAACAAGGCAGAGAACTAGTTGGCCAAGATTCATTCAGCTTCTACAGGATAAGGTTGGTTCATGGATGACTGCAGGAATGTTCCATTCCAGATTTTAAAACCAATTAAAAATTGGTTTTGTTCCAATTCCAGAGGCAATGCCAATGTATTTCTGGCCTCCAAGCTAAAAAGAAAGTTTTCTCTCAGATGCCTGGTGCCTTTTGATAGCTGTTTCCTCTATGGATACATTAGCACATCTTAGTCCTTTAATCTTCTCTTCCTGTTTCAGATACTTTCAGGTTATTGATAGAATATGTGCCTCATAAAACGACTTATGTTATCTGTAATCTTAGTCACCTATGAACCTAGCAATAGTGACCTTAAGAATTTAGAATAATATGGTTGAAGTATGATTGCACTTAACTCCTCATACCTTTTCTTCATCAGGATATTTTACCTCTAGTAAATTAATTACTTTGGAAAAAATTTCATGGATAAGTAAATAATGAATTCCCATTAGAACAAAGACAAGATTTATACATATCATTTGGATACTCAGGCTTTTTGTTTTTTCAGTTTTTTATCTAATGTACATGTACTAGTTTTATCCATCATCCAGTTGAATTGATGTAATAGTGTAACTTGTTTAAATATGACTGTTCATTATGAGGTAAGTAAAATTAACATATTCAGAGGAACCAAATGTCACCTGCCTGAAGGGAACAGGCTGCACCAGATAACTATTGAACCCCTTTGTAGGACTGTTTAATAAGTCCATTAAAATGATGTATGTCACCAGGAAAAGGCAATGTAACATGAGCCCTGTAATTCTATGTTCAACCTAATTTTCCATGGTGAAATGAAAAAGAGAATAGCATCTTTCATCTGTCCATAACTGCTCTGAGTTTGGGAATGTAACTTAGGTCCCACAAATGTTCATGTATTTGTAAGATGTGATTACTCTGAACTAGCCAAATACACACCCTAACATTTTTAGAAGTTTTGAATGTTCAGGGAAAGAATACAGAGATTATGGGTTCAATATGGGAAATGTTTTCTGTAAGCACACCAATGTTTTTCTTTCTGATTGGAAACAGACGACAACTACTATAATGACCCTAGGAAGGCTCACATCGTATTGAGTTCTGCAGACTAACTGACAGGATTTGGACACAATTTGACAGAGACCCTGAGAACTGATTCCCAAAGACTTTAGAATTGTCCTCCTGGATTGTCCAGTCTCTTTAACCCCTGCACTTTAGCTGGAACCAGGAGCATTTGAAAGACTTGTTGATTTTTTAAAAAACTATAACTCATTATATACTTATATTTGGAAAGCTTTTTTTTTTTAGTTTTTGAAGTTCTTTTCTATGTTTTTTATGTTTTTTAATTATTCATTTACATTATTATATTGTAGTTAATTTTTGGGCAATACTGGATTTCTCCCATCAGGTGCAGTCCCCATCATTCTTTCCCTGCCACAGGACTGTTGACCTTTCTGCCAACCCCTTTGCTCCTTCCTCTCCTGTTCTGACCCCTCTCCTCCTCCTTCCCTTGCTATACACCTCAGATCTATGGTTAGCTTGCAGGTTTTACCTCTGGAAAGTATACCTTAAATACCACAGCCTAAAAGGAAAATTATCTATTTAATTTTTTTATTATCATGTTGTTATTACTATATTAATTTGTCTCTCCTTGGTTTGGGGAATTTGCTTTGAAAACTGGTAAAATTACAGAATTCTTCCATATACTTGTGAGTTCAATTTACATTTAAGACTGCTGAAATAATGTATCTATAGCTGCATTACCAACGTAAGCATATTTAGAAATGAATTGCCCTTCATTTACCTGGACTGCTTCTTTATTCAAATAAAAGTCACTCTCTCAATGGCCTTAGTTACTAGGCATATATGAAATAGCCTTCAAGTCTGATTTCGGGTTTTTTTTTTTTCTGACTTTCATTAATGACTTACCTGAAAATTGCAAATGGCACCATTCTGATAGCTAGTACTTCCATCAGAATAATGAAGCTAATATGTCAGGAAGTCAACAAATTACTTCTAACAGTGACTGTTCCTGGGCTTCTTGTGACTCTTTTCTGAAGACACAGAACAGGGCCATATTTTTCAATCTTGCAGGACATGTGAGAAAAGCAGAAAATACCAGGCTATTATTAATCTTGAATCTGTATTTGAGGCTAGATATAATTTGATTTCTTATTGCTCCTTTAACACCATTCCTTTTGGGTAATAATTTCCACAAGAGAACAAAAGAGGCAGACCACACTACAGATGTTTCCCTGTGAACTGAGAATATATGCCTCACATGATTTAATAGCCACTCAAGAAAATGTCAACAATATTATTTATGCGAAAAAATAACCAGTTTCTTACTTGACTAGACAAAACCTATGTCTTGATTAAAATCATACACATA